TTCCACAACGCAAATCGAGGACACCCTATCATTTTGGAATGAAGACTTCTTCATTATAGAATGAAGGGAGTTCAGGATGAACGCTCGCTACGGTTTGAAGGCCCCTTCATTCCAAAACGAAACAGTCTCCATAAAATCAATCATGCCCATCTGATCAGTACCCTCAAACACGCCCCACATAACCGGTACTGGGCTTCCATAAGGGACTTTGCCTCCCGTGCAATGTCCCCTAGAAAAAGAGGAAGTCACCCTTGGCGGCAGCCGCGTCCGTTCCCATCGCCCGCCAAGCATTCGCCTACACTCTTCCTGCTCACGCACAATTTTTTACAGGTACAGGTTTATAGAGACGTAATGTCAGGAATATTGATGTGCCTCGACTGGTATGATGTCCCTACCCGGATTCAAGCCAGGTCTTCACGGCCACAACGTGATGTACTAACCACTATACGATAGGGACGAGCAAATTTAAAGAGAAAAGATGACATTACTATCCTAAACTTTAATGTTAATGGCATTGCTACGCTGCCCAACTCAGCTAATTAATCCGACCATTATTACAGGTGATTATACTAATTACCACATTACCAGGAAAACATACACATATGTGGCAGAGTGGGCTGAGGTGAAGTTGTGTGTGTGTGTGTGTGTTACATGGTTGGGGGTGCGTGACCCCATACCTGTAAGACTACCCATACGAGCCGAGGGCCCAAGGGCAATACTACAACGCCTAAAAGCCACGGAGAAAAGGAAAAAAACCGCACATCAGCCCAGACTAACGTCCAAAGGGGGTAATTGAGTTTCGGTGAGCCCACATACGTTCCAACATCCTCGCCAGACGTGCGGGTTCCCATTGCATGGCCTCCAACATACTCTGTTGATGATCGAATCCCTCTTCAGCACGAATATCATTATAGGCTGGGCATTCCAATAACACGTGTTTTTCATCCTCAATTCGGCTATTAGGACCACAACAGTGGCAAAACCGCTGCCCCCTGGGGACATGGTACTTGCCCCTTCGTGCTCTGTTCGCCTCCAAAGCCCAGCAACATAAACGAAACTGCATTAGCTTACGATGTGCTAAACGAGGAATGAAAACCTTAGCATGTGTTGGCCACATGACGGCTGCGGCTCCCGAAAAGGGCAGCCCCATCCAGTGCTTATACTTCGCCATTTGCACTCCCGGTTGCTTCCCATCTGATGGGTACTCCTCTGGCAAGACAGTCAGACGCGTATGGTCCCAGCCGCTCATCANACGCTCTCTTAATGCCGTTATTATCGCTCCTTCTGGT